GATTAAAAAGAATTAATCCAAACACAGAACGCTGCAGGAATCCATGTGCTACGTCACTCCACTGGGAGAAGTTGCCATTTGTTCCTACCCTCTGCTTCTGTTCTTTAACCAGTTAGTGATCCTTAAGAGGAGCTCCCTCCTTTTATTCCCATGACTGCTTAGTTTGCCCAGAAGTCTTTGGTGAGAGACTTTAATCAAAAGCCTTTTGAAAGTCCAAATAAACAGTGTCTATTGGATCACCTCTGCCTATGTACTTTTTGACCCAAAGAAGTTCTTCAAAGAACTCCAAAATTTTAGTGAGACGAGCCTTTCCCTTATGGAAGCCATCCTGAGTTTTTCCCCATCAAGGCTTGTCCCTCTATGTGCTTACTTATTCTATCTTTAATGTTGCTTTCAGCCAGCTTACCCAGAACTGACTGTAATTTCTTGGATCCCTCTTAAAAAATAGGTGTTACATTGGCCATTCTCCAATCCTCCGGTACAAGGGCTGTTTTTTTGGGACCTAGGGAACGTCTTGATAACAAAGTAAGCCATCTCCGATCTTAGTTCCTTAAAGACTCTAGGATGGATACTGTCAGGATGGGATGAGCTGCTGACTTTCTGATTCTCAATAATGTTTAGAACTTTTGTCTCTATGATGTGCCTTAATTCCTCAGACCCACTTCTAGAATACATAAGTTCAGGAACAGGAATATGCACTGCATTCTCTGTTGTGAAGACAACAGATGAAAATAATTCATTTAGCTTCTTCTGAAATCTCCTCTTCCCTCCTTAGTATACCTGTAATTCCATTATTGTCCTATAGTTCAACTGCTCCTCTAGCTGTTTTCCTACAGCAATGGTTTACCTTCTAAATGGAACCACTTGACTTTAGCAAACATCCAACAGTACAAGAAAAGAGCCAAGTTGCACCCTGTATCAAGGTAATAGTTTAGTCTCTACTTAAAATGAGTATAACTTCACTGTTGCTCATCTTTGAAAGATCTTTTACTCAAATTGGAATGTAAAACAAACATACCAGATAGCCCAAGCTTACACTGAGTTAAGCATCTGAGCATAAGATTGTTACCAAGAATTGCTACTGAATATAGTGGAAATTCTCAGTAGACACTAATGAACTTGGTCTAAAATAAACAAGATGTGGATGAATCTGTTTGAGCATACATCATAATAGGAGTGACAACACGGTGTCATTTTCCTGGCATGCACACTCTAGTTATCTATGTGCCAAAGGTGGCCAAATTGGTCATATTCTCAAACCTGCATCACAAAATGGCAGGCACAGAAAAAGATAATCCTAAGCAATATTCTTCTATACAGGCACTAAAAATGATGTTTTGACATCCATAACTTGACTAGAATTTGTTGTCTGCAGAGGACAAAGAGATAACCAGCTATGCTTGGTTTTGCTAGCATTGCAAGTTTTATCATGTGGGTCAACAGCATAACATAATTTGGCATAACATTCTCTGAGAGAAGCAGGGCTGTTTGTCATTTGTGTAGATTACTCAGCTGTACATAGAAAAGGAATACTTGATGGCTGCATGCCCACCATGCCCAAAGAGCTTTGCCATTTTTTAAAAAAACAGCAGAAACAAACAATCCTAGAAAGTGGCCATTGTTCTAACGAAGTTCAATGGATTGAGAAAGCCAGTACTGAAAAAAAGTATTTCTCCTGAACATAGAAATTCTTTGATGACATAAGTTCTGAACAACTATGAGCAAGCTCACATGGAGAATAAACAACTGACTTATTTCTAATGTAGTACATTCTGGATACAGTATCCAGAATCATTGCCTGTTCCAGAGTTATTGGAGGATTGTTTCCCTCTCCAACAAGGCATGATGCCCTGGTTCAGACAATATGACAAACTGCACCTGGGCACCATGGCTTTTCTGATTGCAAGATCCAGTTCTATGAGTGTAAGACTTGTGCTGGATCAGACCAAATGTCCATCTAGCCCAGCTTTCTTTTTACATTGTCCAGGCAGCTGACCATGGGAAACCCACAAACAAGAAATGTGTGCGGTGATCTTGGAGCCCAGGAAAATAAAATCTATCGCTACCTCCATTTCTTCCCCATCTATTTGCCAGGAAGTGAGAGGACTGGATGCCATGATCTTAGTTTTCTTAATGTTGAGTTTCAAGCCAACTTTTGCACTCTCCTCCTTCACCCGCATCAAGAGGCTCTTTAGTTCCTCTTCACTTTCTGCCATGTGAGTGGTATCATCTGCATACAGTATGTGAGGTTGTTGGTATTTCTCCCTGCAATCTTAATTCCAACTGGTGATTCATCTAGCTGGGCCTTTCACGAGATGTGCTCTGCATACAAGTTAAATAGGCAGGGTGACAGTATACAGCCTTGCCGAACTCCTTTCCCAGTTCTGAACCAATCAGTAGTTCCATGTCCTCACTGGTGCTTCTTGACTTGCATACAGGTTTCTCAAGGGACAAATAAGATGGTCTGGTACTCCCATCTCTTTAAGAACTTGCCACAATTTGTTCTGATCCACACAATCAAAGGCTTTAGTGTAGTCAATGAAACAGTTTTTCTGGAACTCCCTAGCTTTCTCCATGATCCAGCATATGTTGGCAATTTGATCTCTAGTTGCTCTGCCTTTTTGAAACCCTGCCTGTACTTCTGGTAGTTCTCGGTCCACATACTGCTGGAGCCTAGCTTGTAGGATTTTCAGCATGACTTTGCTAGCATGTGAAATGAGTACAATGGTGCAGTAGTTTAAACATTCTTTGGCATTGCCCTTCTTTGGAATTGGAATGTAAACTGATCTTTTCCAATCCTGTGGCCACTGTTGAGTTGAGTTTTCCAAATTTGCTGGCATATTGAGTGTAGCACTTTTACTGCATCATCTTTTAGGATTTTGAATAACTCAGCTGGAATACTGTCTCCTCCACTAGCTTTGTTGTTGCTATGACTTCCGAAGGCCCTTTCAACTTCACATTCCAAGATGTCTTGCTTGAGGTCAGTGACCACCCGATCATGGTTATCAGGATGTTAAAATCTTTCTTGCATAGTACTATGTAATCTTGCCACCTCTTTTTAATCTCTTTTTAATCTCTCTGTAAGGTTCCTGCCATTTTGGTCTTTTATCATGCCCATCTTTGCATGAAATGTTCCCTACATATCTCCAATTTTCTTGAAGAGATCTCTGGGCCTCCCTATTCTATTGTTTTCTTCTACTTATTGCACTGTTCATTTAAGAAGGCCTTCTTATCTATTCTAGCAATTCTCTGGAATTCTGCATTCAATTGGGTGAATCTTTCTCTTTCTCCCTTGCCTTTCACTTCCCTTCTTTCCTCAGCTATTTGTAAAGCTTCCTCAGACAGCCATTTTGCTTTCTTGCATTTCTTTTTCTTTGGGATGGTTTTAGTTGCTACCTCCTGTACAATGTTGCGAACCTCCATCCATAGTTCTTCAGGCACTCTATCACAACTAATTCCTTAAATCAATTTGTCACCTCTACTGTATATATTTAAGACTAGATTCTTTGAATTATCCAACCAGTGTGTGCTGAAACTGGTTTTTCCTTTCTGATCATCCTTTTAACTCTTCCAATAGTATGTGGCATGGATCTAACAGTATGCTTGAGCAAGATTCATGAACCAGTATTGTACACGCCTATCTTAAGGCAGGCTCAACTAATAGTAAAGGTCTGAACCACACACAGTCTGCAAAGTATTTCAACCCTACAGATGCTTCTATTGTCACTGTATTTTCAGTCTAATGCAAATCTGATAACGTTATTCAAGCAAATAGAATTATGAGTGCTGCAGGCAGCAGTGCAAATCATGCTTTACAGATGATTGCTTCCAGAGAACTGCATTACCCGGCATGTTTTAGGCTACAATTCTACACACCAGCTTTCTCAAACTGAGCATCCTATAGATGTGTTGGATTACAGCATTGTTATCAGTCATTTGATTGGGATGAGGGGAAGTATAGCACAATACCTCTGGAGAAGTCTGATATACTCACTTACCTTGGAGTAAGATCCACCGAAAGGAGGCTTAATTCTACCTTAAACATATATAGAATTGCATTCTTAGCAATTAAAACAATAGTCTGCAGAGTCTGCATAGATACATCACACTGTTAGAAGCAGTACAACAGAATACAGATATTCAAAATTCAAAGTAAAATTCCATAGCTCTGTGATGGTCTGCAAGTCTGGGAAATATTTCTGCTAGTCAGAAGAAAATACTGGGTTTGATAGACCTATGGTCTCAGTCTGTGTAAGGCATTTTCATATGTTCAAGATGAAGACGTTTTTGAATAGGTTCCAATGAGATAAATGAGCTAGACTTTGATTTTTTTAATGAAAGAATTATTGCCATAACACACTAAATAACACACTGAAACTTCCAGAGACATCATGAAGTCATTCACAAAGAGCTAACAACCAATTTAAAAGCTATTTATAAACTTTTGATGGCCTTGTGCATGATGAAGTGATTACTTTCCATAACCATATTAATATATTACCAGTATGAGAAGACCCACTGATGTCTCTATACTAGCAGCTCTGATCCAGAGACTCACAATGAAGCCCGACTGTAATCAGTGGGTAGTACTCAAACATAGTCCTACTTAGAGTAGACACATTGAATTGAATGAACTTAGGCTAATATTTGATACAAACCACAAGGACAAAATTGTGACTAACATGTCCAATCATGTTAACGTGCACATTTCACACTAATCTTCTCTTGAAGGGGTTCACTAAGGCAACAGGGAAAATAGCAAGCACAAATTTGTAATGATGGAAACCTAAAACACAGATGCATCCTTAAGGGAGAAAGTGGCTGAAGATTTTTAAACTTGTAATTCCATTTTAAAGGTAAGGGGAAGACACATATATGGTATATGCTTTTGTGCACATTTCATCCATATCAGATGCATGAAAAGTTGATCCATAATATTTTTTTCTTTTTTTGCTGTAACAGTCCCATACAATTATCTATTTAGAAATAAGGATATTTACCCAGAAGTGTGCGTGGCAGTTAACCATCATGGTCCTCTCGATAAGCTCATCAGGACATTCTAGGAGATGGTGCCCAGAAACCACACCGGCATTGTTAACCAGGACCGAAACTTCACCAACCTCCTTGCAGACTCTCTCAGCAGTTGTATATACATTCTCTCTTTTGCTCACGTCACAAGTATATGTGTGAACTTGCAAGTTGTAGTGAGGTAGTACTTCTTCACCATGTCCAGCTGCTTATGGGAATGCAGAGAAGCAAAGAGGAAGAGTCTAATTAGAGGTATTCTTCAAAGTGCACATATCAGTAAGTATGAAGTAAGTTAATCTACCTACTTGCCAGTTCCAAAGGATGCAGAAAACTGAAAGACGTCACTAGGTGCCAAGATAATGAGCTATCAAGCCATGTAGAGTTTATCTTTAGTTATAATCTACTGATGCTCAAATAGAAGACTACCTCCCTCTGCAACTTAGGATTATTTACTTTGATTTCCTAGATTCATATGAATGTATTATCACACTTCTGTCTGATCACTATTTAAAAGCAGGACTACTGAGTAGACCAACACCACTGTAAACAGAGTACTCCATCCACAAACCACTTCACCTGGAATATTTGAATGTGAGGTCAATGAAAACAAAAACATGCTTCTTGAGTCCATGCATATTTAATCAGAAAGAAGATTTATTGAGTAGAGTGGATTCACCCTCAAATGGAAACTCCACTCAGACTTAACAGGTTTAAAAAGCTGAACTACTCCATTTTAACTGGTTTGTATAAATGGTGCAAATCAGCTAAATGAAGCATAGTAAAATCTGATGTACCCATGTGCAGCAAATGCTGCAACACTAAACCTATTTTCTTGGAAGTAGACACCACTTACATCAAAGTGCCTTACTTCCAAGTAGACCTGCCTAGAAACATTTATCATTCTGTTAGTTTATGTGCACAATTGTGTACACATTTAAAGGGAAAAGCTGGTACAAATTCCAACAATGTTGGAAGTTGTGTGACTTTTTCTGTCTGAACATGCATAAAACTGAACTTTAAATTCATGTGGTAAACCCTTTCTACATTAACTACACTGTCCAACCTTCAACCCAGATTTCCACACAATAGGCTTTTAAGAGGATTCACATTTCACCATTTAAAGAGTGACTGCTGCTTTTCCAGACAGACTTATTTTCTCTGGGTTGTTCAATATAACTAAATACTTGCAGACTTTGTCACCTATATATAACAATCATTAATGTTACTGAAATGTGTTATTGCTCATTTCAATGCCTTCCTAAAACATATTTCAAACACCTAGAGAAAGAAAGGCAGAGACTATTAAACATTTGGTCAGTTCTACCTCCCTCTGCAACCTAGGATTATTTACTTTGATTTCTTAGATTCTTATGAATGTATTGATCACATTTCTTTCTGGGCACTATTTAAAATGTATAGCCCATCCCATTCCAACTCAAAACATCACAGCAAAGGAACTTCAATTCCATTCTAACCTGACAGATGCTGAGTTCAAGACAGCAACTACCCTTCTAGTGTGTTAATTTTTTATTTTATTTTAGTAAAATGAAAAATAAAAACAATCATTTTTCTTTCTGAACCTCTTGGGTAAGAATTGCAGTCTATTTTCCACGGGCCATGATCTAAAAATGGCCCTTAGGTTTTTAACACTGTTTTTGGTGACTTTTGAAACATTTTAACTCAGCAGCTTTTAATAATTCAGTTCAGTCAATCTGGAGAAGGTTACAATATACTAGTGAGAGTTTTTTTTTCTTCCCACTCTCTAAGCAACTTGAAGAAAATTCCTCTTCTGCAAAGCACGTGTATAAGCACGAATTGTCTCCAGTTCTTGTTCTGACCAGGCCCATCTTTTTGCTCTAAAACAAATAAACAGCTCAAGGTTAAGCCGAAAAAGAAGCTTCTCTAGGTGCATTAGGAAGGGTCTGTTCAAGAGTACTATCCATGAAGCTACAGTTTCTTCTCTCTCTGTTACGGAGGCTCATGAAAGCTTTAATCTTTTTCTCCATACCAGCACACATTATTTTAATGCATCATAGGTATTTCCATGCACACCTGGCCTTTCTTTCTTAGAAGAAAGAGGCACTTGTTTCTCCATTATTCTTCAATGAGATGGGCGCTAGCGCGTCTACCGGGCCTCGCGGTCGCCACAAAAGGAGAATGTACGCACGCACGCACGCCGAGCAGCAACCGCATTTTACCTTTCTGAGCAGCGGCCACGTCTTCCTCGGAGATCTCCCGGTAGATGTGCCGCACCATGCCCGCCGTCTCCTCGTTGCTCTGCGTGTTGATGTCCCACAGCACCAAGCGTGCTCGGCGGCGGGCGAATTCCAACGCGAAGAGGCGGCCCAGCCCACTGCCAGCCCCGGTGATCAGGCACACCTGCCCCGCCACGCTCTTCTCCTTGGGGCGCATGAGCCATTTGGCGGCGGCCACCACGAACGCCCACAGGACCTTGAAGGTGACGACGAAGAATTCCAGGATGATGTTCATGACTGCGGGCTTCGCGGAGGCGGACGGAACCAACTTGCGAGCCCCTGGAGCGACCGCTGGTCCTAACAGGCTACTTTCTGGCTTCCCTGCGCAGAAATCCTGGGAGTGCAGCCTCAGCGATTCAGTGAGCGGCAGCGCGCCAAAGCATAGCCAGGAACAGCTTCCCCGCTCAAGAACAAGCCAGGCAAGAGCCACCAACCCACCGGCAGAGCCTCTTCGCTAGCCTGCGGCCACCTGGCCGGGAGCAAAACGCCGCTTTCTCCGCGCGCCTGGGAGCCCTCGGCGGCAGCTTCTTGGCGCGGGCACGGAAAGGAAGGGCAAAGCTCAGCGCCCTGCCACCTAATGACCACCCTGACTCTGCAGAGGCGAAGCCAAGGCCACCGCGGCTCGATCGGGGAGGCAGGCAAGTTTAACGAGAGCGGAGAACAAGTTTCCGCGGAAAGCGCGGCTGCCGCTACCAGCCAGTGCCCTCGCCTAACACGCCTTCTCTCTGGCGCTCGCCGCTTGGCACTCGCGAGCGAGGGACGTTCCGCTTGCCGCCACCCGCACCGCTCATGGGGGGAACGCAGAAAAGGCTGAGCGGCCGCTGCCGCCGCGCGCGTCCCTGCCCAGCCCTACCTGTGCCCTTTGCCTTGCGGCCGCGCCAGAACCCAACACCTCTCGCCTGAAAGTGAGCATTTTCCCACCGCTCGGAGCTCTATATAGCCCCGGTGCGAGGGAACCAGGCCCCCTCCGCCAACCCTCCCGCCCCCAACCCCACCATCCTCCGTGCTTCCCAGCCCCTCCTCCTCCTCCTCCTAGCCACTTTGCATTCCTAGGTCCTCCCCCATTATATTTCCGCCCAGCGGCGCCACCTTTTTTCTTTTCTTTAACGAAGAGCCCAGCCCAGCTACACGCGGAACGTCTTCGCACTGCTAGGCCAGCCCAGGCTGTATGCGAACTACACCTCGGACAGCTTGCTCTGCTTTGCTCTGCTCTGCTCCTGGAACAACCTCTAGGTGGGCACAGGCTATCAGAAAGCGCGCTTTACTTGCGAGCGAGGGCCGTTTAACTCCGCAAAGAGTCTTGCGGCACGTCGAAGACTAACCCATTTTATTTCAACATCTGGACGCTTAAGTGTATGCAAACCCTAATAAAATTTGACAGGCGTAATCCTACTCCTGTTTAGACAGGAACAAAGTCCTACAACTCCCAGCATTCTCCACCCAGCAAGGGTGATTAGGGAATACTGGGAGTTGTAGGACTTTTCCTCCTGCCTAAGCAGGCGAAGGATTGCGCGCGTGGTCTAGTCTTGAAGTCTTTGTCGGTTTTGCTGCAACGCGGCTAATCCTCTGGAAACACCGCTGAGAAACCGTGGAGAGGAGTGGGTTCGAAGGATAGGAGTAGCTATTGCTGCTGTCTGCCTGGCCTGAGATACCTTCTGCCAAGCTGTATGTTCACCTCCACGTGAGCCCTTCTCCATCTTTTCCTGCAGCTGGACGAAAACTTGACTCGCTCCTCTGGCAGCTCTACCCATAAAGGACACTTGGACAGTCCGAGGGATGCAATCCTAGGATGTTTTGTCCCCCCATTCCTCCCAAATTCCCGTAACTCCCAGAATTCCACAACCAGACATGTGAACAACGCTGGGAGTTGTACATTTTTTTCCTGCCAAATTTGCATAGGATTGCATCCTCAAGGCTAAAAGAAATATTACTTTGTGTTTAGCAACTGGGAGTAAGTTCCACTGAATTCCATGGGACTTATGAGTAAGCATCTACAGAATCGCAGTTAGTCGTTTCATTTTTTCGGTCCGGTAGGTGCTGGAGGGCGATCCAGATTTTAAAAGTCCCCTCTCTAGGATCCTGATCCGTATTGAGGTCCCGCACTTACTCTAGACTAAAAATGGGGGCGGTAACAGTTAGATGTACATTTAATAACGTTTGTTTTTCCCCTAAGATTTGAATGTGCTTATTCGAGCATACCAATGTGTAGGATTGGATTACGGGACTGCATTCCTATATTGATCGAAGGGCAACCTAAATAATAGCATGAATAGACTGAATATGGGGTTTATTCCTGGGCAAATGGGTACAAGACTCCAGCTCCATGCATCACTCTAAGCGCCGGAGAACATTATGGTTCGGAAAGGAAATAGTATCGTTCTTGTGCCATACCTGTGGACATCCAGCAAACCGCGGAAGAACATGAAGACATGATTGCCTACATGCTCCAGAATACATAGCGCAGCTGGTCGTACTGTCTTGCGTAACATCTAAGGCGCCCTGTTAAGTGATCTCCAAAACACTACAATTCCCAAAATGCATTGCGCGCTTTTCTTTCATCCACTCCTAAAGTTAGTGAATCTGAAAGTGTATGCTCCGAGATGTAGTTTAACGTTGCAGCTTCGTTTTCTTCTTACCAGTTTTTTGAACTAATTATAATGTCATTGTGCTTAGAATGTAATCAAATCATGCTTACTCTGTTGGACTTACTCCCTGTAGTCTTAGTTTGCCTCCTATGCACCTTTTATATCACAAACAAGTTTCAATAAATACCGTATTCCTATTTCCAGACTGAAATTCAGCGCGTAGTTGCTTAGGAGTAAAACATCTTTATCGCTAAGAAATTGAGATTTGATAGATGCGTGGCTGTCAACGAAATTCCAAAATTGTTTCATACACTTGACCTGATTGCAACGATCTTAGTAACAGTTTCTACCTTTTGGGAAAAAATATCATAAACAGCACCCTCAGCATATACATAATGCTATAGGTATTCTTCTCCTTTGCTTATTGCTAAAGATATCCATAATTACGTGCATATTAAATCGTTGGCACTAATCGAGCCACCTCGCTTCCTTTTTCTGCTCAGGCATTACGTTAGACAACTAAACTCAGGGCCTTATCCTCGATAGTCCCATCCATTAGGCCGCTAACCGAAGCTTTTATGTTCAGTGCGCATGCGCTAGCTCTTTCTTTTTCCGGTCGGAAGCGCGGGAGCCATGGCGGGCGAAGAGTAAGTAATTCTTTCTTCTCAGACACAATCCATTGTCATCCGTGGGTTTAAGAGAACGTTTTGCAGCGTTTTAAAAATCTGGGTTCACCCTTGACGGATTCATGGTCTGTAAAGATTCAAACTATACCGCTCTGTCAAGTTCTGGCTGGAGGACGATTGGCGAGAGATGCGGCTGGCAACTGGCCTTTGCCTCTGCTCAAATGAGTCGCCTTGAGAGTTGGTAAAAGGCTAATTTCTGAGGATACCAAGTTGATCCCAGCGGCGAGGTGACTTTATCACTTGGCGTTGCCTTACCAACTAGTTGCATTTTTTCCCAGGTTTACAGGCTTTGTAACCTGTAGGGTACAGCCTAGGCCCCGCTATTGCCTTCCGGTACACGCGTACAATGGTTGCTGTCTTTAACGAGAACACGGGAGTCTGGAAGCCTGTGCTGACACGATGCAAATAACTCTCTTTAGGACTGTGAAGTTCTATAATGTCCAGCTTTGCAAATGTTGTGTTTGTAACCAGTGTTGTTCTGCTTAGAGTAGCATCATTAAAACTTGGCTAACCTTGGTTATAACCCATGGCTGAGATTAGTAAAATAATTTGGGAGCTTTGAATGAGGTTTCCAAGTCTTGAGTTTAAGTTTTATTAACTTATAATGGAAACGGGAATATTTCTAAAGACCATTTTGGGAAGGGGGAAAAAGGCATGGTATAAGCAGCATTTCTTTTGGCCCTTTGTATAAAGATGTGGCATGTGCTTTACATCCATAAAAAAGCTTGAAGGCAGCTTAGATCCTTGATTTGTTAAGTGCAGCGGTAAAATTGAGAGCTTTGTGATCAGCAACATGAGTTTTCTGGATGAGATTGGTTTGGACACTTAAACCAGTTTTTAAAAAAAAATCCATAAAAATAAGCGAAACAAATGCTGAAAATCAGGTAACACAGAGGCAAGAATAAGATCAACAAAAATCCAAATTTTCTTCAATGCTTAGAAAAATCCCACTAGTGTAGGCAGTATTGCACGCTACCAGTGATTATTACTTAGAAATATAGGAAGATATGGCCACAAAAAGGGGGAAATAGCTTGGAATTATACTTTAAAGTTTTAAGTCCATTTAATAAAAATTTGCCCCAAAATAAGTTTCGATAAACAGTTTATTCAGAAACTAGCACAGGTATAGTAACTGTGCTTTGTTTACATTGTAAGTTAAATTGTCTAGCTGATGTTGATACATAGTTATGTTTTAAACATTTATTTTGCTTAATAATATAGTGCAAAGAAGAAGGTGCCTTCCATTCCAGAAAGCCTTTTGAAGAAAAGGAAGGCTTTCGCTGATATAAAGGCCAAGCGTCTGAAGAGGCTCTTAGCCCAAAAAAAGGTGAATGTGACTTAACAGCACAATTTATGCATTTTTACTCAGAAGTAAGATCTTTTGTGTTTAGTGGGGTTGGTCTTACAGAAAGAAGAAACACCTTGGATCAGATACAATAGCCAACCAGCTGCCTGTGGGAAATCTGCAAACAGAATGTGTATAATAGCAACCACTCACTTGTGTTATGTCAGTCTTTTTTGGAGGACTTTATATATTTATAAAATTTGTATGCTGTCCAATTACTTGCGTCTCTGGACAGCTTACAGCATAAGTAAATTGACAACCCACTCTGCAAGTTAATAAAATACAACAATAAAATACAATATTAAAACATATTAAAATATTGATTAAATAAAAAGGTCTTAACCTGGCGCCAAAAAACAAATAACAACAGCGCCAGGCGGACCTCTCTGGGGAGCGCATTCCATAGTCGGGGCGCCACCGCAGAGAAGGCTCTCCTCCAGGTACTCTGTCTCCTAATGTTTTTCAAAGAGGGTTCCCGGAGGAGGGCTTCTGTTGTCGATCTCAGAGGACGGGAGGGCAAATAGGGAAAAAGGCATTCCTTTAGGTATCCTGGTCCCAAGCCATTTAGGGCTTTATGGGTAATAACCAGCACCTTGAGTTGAGCCCAGACTTCGATGGGAAGCCAATGGAGCTGATAGAGGACTGGGGTTATATGAGAATAATGCCCAGTCCCTGACAGCATCCTGGCAGCTCTATTTTGAACCATCTGAAGTATCCAGACTGTCTTCAAGGGCAGCCCCACGTAAAGCGCGTTACAGAAATCCAACTGGGAAGTAACCAATGCGTGTGTTACTGTTGCTAGACTTTCCTCCAGGAAGGGACGCAGCTGATAGATTAGCCAAAGCTGGAGGAAAGCGCTCCTTGCCACCACTGTCACTTGGGCTTCCAAGGACAGCTCTGGCTCGAGGAGCACTCCCAAGCTGCAGAGTGTACATAATCTGGTACAGCTGTCTGTAACTCTACACATAAAGGATTGTGGACCTCCCTTCACACATGAGAAGAGTCCAGAGGTGAGGTTTGCCTACGTACTTCTACTACCTTGCCAAAGATAAAGGTGGCTGACCTCAGCAGGCCATAGGGTTGCACTCTTAAAATATTTGTAAAAAGTTTGAAGACAATAACAGAAATACTGAAAATAGTTGGCACTGTAATGCATTTTAGCAACCTGAAGAACTTTGTCAGATATGTTGACAACTGCTCATGTATTTCAACAAGTTTCAA